CCATCTTTGATCTAAAATAACCAAGTCAATAACATTTCGATTTATGGAGACAAGATATCACAAGAAAGTTCCATATATTCTAAAAACATATATTGGAACAGCAGACCAAAACTTATAATGCGCGCTCAGCACAGCACATGATGTTTACTGCTTTATTTAGCGACATTTCTTGGACATTTCGCGTCATTTTTGGTTCGATTTTTGAAGTACTCTAACTTTTCTTCGTTTTGTGTTTCATGGCTGAAACTTCAGTAAATATGTGGGGTTGGATAGGTCTACAATATATATAAAATCGAGGGAAATTGAAGAACTTTCAGTTTTTCATATCTGCCAGAAAATGGTGAATTATTGCGATTTTTACAGACAAGCTCTCTTAAATGGAATAGCCCATTCTCACCCCACACGTCACGTTTAAAGAAAATGGAAGCTTGTTGCTCGTTTAACGCCGGATTAACCACGTGTCAGATGCGGTAAATGCCGCGGGCCTCGCGCTTATGGGTGCCTCGCGCTTTACTGTGTCACGCCCATTTTTACGAGAACACGACCATTTTCATTGGGGCACGTCCATTTTAGGTGCCTCGCGAATTTAGGGATCTCGCGCATTTAGGGCCCCTAGGCTTGGCAGTTGGTCCCAGCACGGCCCCGGGAAAATATGCAATACTCGTGAACATATGATCTCCAGTTGCGTTGAGCTGTTATATTATGATCCTGTTTATACATGTTGACCCAACAACTGGGCCAGGAAGGCCATTGTCTCGTTTATAATTGATGCCAATAAATTGAAATATTGAAAAAAATTATTTAACAATTTTGTGTGTCTTTAAATTCAAAGGTTTTCATAACAGGGGGGTCCTCGCGCTAAAATCTGCCACTGGCCTCGCGCGACGTTAATCCGGCCTTGGTCACTTGTCGGTAGTTCTTGTGGTTTTAATGGCAATTGCCAAAGATCGAAAGAGAGGACCGATGACTCCCCCCGTCGGAGAATTACCAGCGCACCCCAGGCCAGCTCAGTGAAATATGAGAGCCCAGTGCAAATTATACCTTTGGGGCCCCGGTGAACCACAAAATTTTAATCCCCTTCCAAATTTGTATTTGCCGGCCCTCCTTAAGCTGGGGTCGAGGAGAAAATTGCTCCCTTTGCCCACCCCTTGCATGGGCGGCCCTGGCGCCGCCCCTGTCTTATCATAACTATCTACTTCAAATAATTTTTAAAGCTCTGGTCTTTTTCAAGTAGTTTTTTTATCCCGAAAAAGTAAAAGACTTAGAAATGGTGATTATTAAACTATTTACTACGGAGTACGGTATGTTATTTAATAACGAGCAAGGGTTAGGGTAGGGATTATGGTTAAGTTATAAAGTTGGTGTTTGGAATAGGGTTAGTGTAAAGCTTTGTTTTTTTTGTCACTCTGAGGCCAGCGAAATAACCTCTTCCGCAACATGCACGTACCCGTCCACTATCGTCAAGAAGCAATCAATACCTATAATCGTTGTAGTCTGTGGGATTTTAACGAGGTCAATAGTGTAAACCTTGCAGTTTTAACACACATTAGCCGAATTCATATTAGAGACGGGAAACTTGTCGTTAGACGGGAAATTCGTCTAATATGAATCCGGGGGCAGACGAGTTTCCCGTCCGAACTTTCCCGTCTAACTTGCCCGTCAAAACGGACAGGAAAGTTAGACGGGAATCTCATCTAGACGGGAAACTCGTCTTAAATTCGAATTTATCCGTCCCTAAATTTATGGGTTTTCACAGTCGAGTTTCCCTTCCCTAATATGAATTCGGCTATTCAAATATAAGGGCTGGTAAACTAAAAATAAAAACTCCTTATAAGGATAAACGTTATAAACGTTCATTTCACTTGTACCCGCACGCTAACAGCTGCTTAATAATTAACTTACGTATTCGTAAACATTTGTCGATACATAAAATGGTACATTAATATGGACAAAATGGAACAAAACCTCGGAAAACGGCAGTTGCAGTTCTAATTATTTTGGGGAATTTAGTAGCAAATATAATCCCTAAATAGCTCATCGATTTGTATATTTATTAGCGCTAAAGTTTACAACGGCTGGGTCGTAGATCACGTTGAATAATGCACAACTGACAACAATGTCTCAAAATACCGGCTGTGTGATGATTTTTTTACAAATATACCGGGATTTCTGGACCACTTTTAAACTTAGCAAGGCAAAAAGTCCCCATTCAAGAATATGTTTTTCTCAAAAGGTAAAATTCTTAGAATACTTGATTAAATTCTTTACTTCGACGGTGTATAAATTAACAGCGTTTGACTTGCAAGACGGTCAAAAACGGGAAATTTCAACTCGCTGTCGTTTATCGCGTATCCATTTGCCCAAAGAAGTATTTACGTCAATTGAAAGCTTTGTTATTAAAGAGCCAACTAGTAGAAGCATGATCGATTTGCAGCTTTATCCCATGGTGAAAATCGGTTTTGTTAAGAGGGTATCGTAAATGAAGTAAGATAGTGTGCTCCCAAACTACGATTATTTCTATTCCTAAAAGTAACTCAGATTTCCTGTAAGTCACGTACCGGGTCCTTTGAATAACCGAAAAAAAGATTTTTAGGGTTTTAGATCGATTAGAAACGGTTGTCGTCGTGAAATTTGTCGTTAAAATGAGCTCATATTTTCCCAGACAAAATGGCGATTTAGGGTGGTCGTGTTAAAACGGCATTTTCTCAAAGTTAAAAAAGCATTTGACCTAAAATAATATATGGTGCATTTTCCGATATAATAAGGTATAACTCAGCCTCGTCTCTGAAGGAATAGTCAACTCGGCTTCGCCTCGTTGACTATTCGCTCATAGACAACTCGGCTTCGTTGTCTAATTGTTAATTAGACTATATTATAAAACAATTATACCATGCATTCGCTCTTGTCGTATATGGCTATCAGCTCGATCATGTAGTATTCGAGCTCATGGCATAATTGTTAATTATGCTGAGTTGTAATGGGTGTCTACATGCGATAATGCAAAGCCCACTTCCCTTGTGGTTGTTTGAGCACTCTAGCCCCATTGCACTCTGCGCATGTCTGGATACGTTGATGTCATCGTGTTGTACCACATGCCTTGGTGGGAGCAAGTTTATGTGATTTAAATACGAATGTCTCACGTATCTAGACGTGTACCTAGCTGCACTGACGAGGCGTTGAACGCCGAAACATGCATGTCTGCAGATTTGTACTATTACGCTCCTTCACTTCGGTGTTGTTGAGCACTCTGCAGAGTTGTAATGGGTGTCTAATAGCGATAATGCAAAGCCCACTTCCCTTGTGGTTGTTTGAGCGCACTCTGGCCCCATTGCACTCTGCGCATGTCTGGATACGTTGATGTCATCTATATATATATATATATATATATATATATATAGTTTTTCGTTTTACCTCAAAGAACCACAACAGTCTGTTTCAGTCTGGTTCTTTGAGGTAAAACGAAAAACTATATTACGCTCTATCTATATGGTATTGAGCACTGTTTGTGTTTCGTAAACCAAAATCTTAAGCTATATATATATATATATATATATATATATATATATATATATATATATATATATATATATATATATATATATATATATATATATATATATATATATATATATATATATATATATATATATATATATATATATATATATATATAATTCATTTTTTATCACTCAGAATGAAGCAATCTGATTGACTGAGGAGCCTTTTACCAGAATTGACAATACTTTGAAAGAAATGTGGCTGAAAGTCGGAAATTTATTTGACATGTATAAAACTTACGTCGAGAAAGCTATATATTTTGTGTTAAATTAATGCTCATGTATTCGGCCACTTAAAAGCGAATAAATTACAGCTTAAACAAATATTGTAAAGAAATATTTTCCCATCACGTATGCAATCTTAAAAGACGGCTTACCTGCAGTGAAAACAAGTCACGAATGTACTTTTCACTGATAGGCCTCTGGCCTTGAAATTGAAAACTAAGTAAAAGTCTGTATTTGAAAACACATTTTTCAAGCATATTATCGTGACAAGGACCAGAAAAATACTAAATGTAAAAGTAGCGTAGCTGTCCTTTCAGTAGAAATTAGCGTTGATTAAATCAAAACAGCTTGATTTATATGTGTTTTTGATCGGCAAAGCAAGTGAATATGAACCTGTCGTTGCTCCAAATTTGTCAAAGCCAAAACGCCAGGCCGAAACATTTTATTCCAATGATTTTCTGCTACCAGTATCATATTCACATGAAAAAAGCATGTACATTTTTACTTGAACTATATACAATTTTTGTGCGTTTCTTAACAAGATCCCGCTTTGTCGCGAGCTCGATCTCTAATAATAACACATAATAAATCAGAACTTAGAAGGTTCTCTGACCGAATCATTTTTATAAGTCTTAGCCTTAGGTCTGTACTTGAAGACTATAGATGTGAAGGCAGCACTAGTCAAAGTTCGTGAATAAAACCGTGATAAGATTTTCCAATAAAAATTCTAACTGTGAAAGTAACGAAATTTATCTTTCTTTTATCTCTACATTTCGCGTCCAAAAATGTCTTATATCGCGACAGATAATTATTATAGATTATTATTTCTCATTTATTATTTGTAATCAAACAACAAGGATTTCATTTCACCACATAAATTATCATATCAAAACACCCAGAAATTCTGGGTGTTATGTGACCAGCCGATCCCACGAAGGCCATTTTCGCCGACCATCAGCCATGAAGGCAAAATGCTCCTAGATGAGGTTGCTCTTGAAGCTAAAATAAAAATTCTGGCAAATATTAACATCGATCCTTCGCTATTTTTAGATATGAAAACATCTCGTGTTACTCTGATGTTAATCGGCGACAATGGATTTGGCAAAACATGTCTGCTCATGGTTTTCCGAGGTGATGAATGTCCGCCATACTACATCCCGAAAGTTTGCATAGCAAAATATTGATGATGAGAGTATCGAAGTTCATGTATTTGACAGCATGTCCCACGAAGATCATGATAAACTGAGAACATTATGCCATCCTGCTGTAAACCTAGTCATTGTTTCATATTCAACTGATTCCCAAACCACTTTTGAAAATGTTAGGAAAAGATGGCTACCGGAAGTAAATCAATATGCTCCGCAGATTCCCGTGGTACTTGTAGGATTGAAGAAGGATCTTAAGGATAACATGAGTACAGGGACGGATACAAACGAAGAAGCATTGGTGTCCGAAGCTCAAGGACACAAGATGAAAAGTGAAATAGGGGCTGAGAAATACGTGCATATTCTTACGAAGGCGTGTAAACTATATGTAGTATATTACAAACCAGTGTACTGTGAGTTTCCCTGAACGTATTGGCGAAAAACATTCTAATGGAGAAGAGTTTATATTAGGTTCTTTGATGCCTTCGTCCAGCTCGTCGCCACCAGTACAGAAACGCTATTAATAACGGACGTGCCTTCATTTGCATCAATTGCATCAATTTTCTCCACGCTCAAACTTAACTCTCGGCAAGAGATAATTGTTCTGAAGACCGCGCTGTGCTCGACGACAAATTAAGAAGGGCCTTAGCAACATCCTTCTCAAAAGCACGTAGTTTTCTCTTGGTGAGGGCTACAGTACGTCGTTTCCTTTCTGAATGCATATTTATGAGTGCCACACTGCGACTTTATATTTTTTTAAAAAATGATTTACAGTAATGCATATTACCTTTTCATTGGTCGAGAAGGCGTACACAGGATCTGGGTTTGCCTTCGTTGGTCCATTATTAGTCGCTGGGGCACCTGTGCCCCGGACGAGTATAGGTTTCGGCTCGCATTTTTCTCCGATAGTGGATCGAAGATCGATAGCCACAAAATAGAATATTAAAGAGCTACCTAATTTTTACCCAAATTATCCATGAAGCTCCTGCGGCTCCTGCCAATTTTTACCCAAATTATCCATAAATAACCCTGCGTTTTGAGGAAAATTCGGGAAAATTGAAAAATTTTACAAGGAATTTCGACATGGAAACAGCAACCTTCGCAAATCGGAAGTTACGTTTGACTGCGCTGCTTTATATTTTGAGAAGAAAGCGACACCGTTCGATTCAGCGAAAGAAATTGTTCTTACGGATGTCAAGTGTATTATTAAACACCAGTATTCTAGCGATTTATGACTTTTGAAAATCAGGCGAAATTATATTGTTGACCGAGGACGAATCGCTCGCAGTATATATTGTATTTGTTGACAAATCACTAGCAGTACGTTTCATAGTAGAATGTTAGGGTTTGTTAATCCAAGTGAGAATATATACATTTTAAGACCTAACCAGGAACTACTGCGAAAAATGCAGCACAAGGTCCTCTGGTAGGAATTGAACCTACGGCCCTACGACTCCGGTGCAGCGCTCTAACCAACTGAGCTACAGAGGCCAGCTGTTAAGCTGTAACCGTAAGTTCATGTATATGTAGGTAATCGGGTGTGCGGGTTGTGATAAGATACGTGGACTTCAATGATTTGGATTCTTGCACTTCACTTGGTGGAATTAATATTAGAATGTTAGGGTTTGTTAATCCAAGTCAGAATATATACATTTTAAGACCTAACCAGGAACGACTGCGAAAAATGCAGCACAATGTCCTCTGGTAGGAATTGAACCTACGGCCCTGCGATTCCGTTGCAGCGCTCTAATTAACTGAGCTACAGAGGCCAGCTGTTAAGCTGTAACCGTAAGTTCATGTATATATAGGTTATCGGGTGTGCGGGTTGTGATAAGGTGGACTTCAATGATTTGGATTCTTGCACTTTACTTGGTGGAATTAATATTAGAATGTTAGGGTTGGTGGAATTAATATTAGAATGTTAATATTAGAATGTATTTGTAATGCCTAAATGTTGCAATAAGGATAAAAATACCACCGTTCGATTCAGCGTTAGAAATTGTACAAATTACGGATGCCAAATGTACAGTATTACTAAACAACAGTATTCTACGGATTTATTGCCTTTGTCTTTGAAATCCAAGCGAAATTGTATTGTTGACAAATCGCTCAAAATTATTAAACTAATTATAAAAAAACGCAGAACGTTTGATCCTTGATAACTTTCGTATAATTTGTTTCCTCTTTTTCGGCCGTATGCCATTGGATTCGTCATTCGTCTCACTTCTCTCTTCATTTGATAGTATTTTGAGCCCAAAAGACACCAAATATTTTACTTTGAAGCGCAGTTTATTAAATCCTAGCGTACGGACCAACTGGCGGTACCCTGGTCTGGGGGGTTCCTGTTTTTCTGGAAATAGAATGTAGCGTATATAAAATATAACTTTACTTGTAGGGCCTACCGCATTTTAATACTGTGTTAAGCCTTTCGCGCCGGTGTTCGATTTTTCCGCTTAAAGCCCAGTTCCGGTTAGCTCAGCAAGTTGCTCTCGTGTGCGGATAGTTTTCGTGAGGATTTGACCTCTCGAGGCCTTGAGGAAAATATCTATCCTGTTTGATATTTTTCGCCTCGCGAGGAAGAAATCTCCGCGCGTCTGCGGATGTTGTGAGCTAAAGCCCGCCGCACACGAGAGCAATTTGCTGAGCTAACCGCCTCGCGAGGCAGCTAGCTCAGCTATGTATTTTCACCGCACACGTTGGGAAAACTACTCAACAACAACATAAATAAAAAAATCATTTGCATTTTCCACCATTTTGTTCCAAGTCACATGAAGAAACCATGGTTTGTCATTGGCAGGGGCGTAGGAACCGGGGGAGGTGGCAGGCCCCCAAGTTTTGCCAAGGGCCCTTTTTCCGGGAGCAAAGTGGCCTTTTCTTGCGTGAAAAATGTCTTAAAGATTGACTTTTTTTGCCCAAAGGAACTTTTGAAAAGTTGAATTTATGTTATTTTCCGGTAAATTTTATTCATTTGTGGGAAAAATATGATATATTCAGAAAAATTTTGGGTATATCCGGAAATTTTTTTTCATATTTAGGAAAAAATGTGATATATATATCCGGAAAATTTTTTTTGGTATGTCCGGAGACCCACCCCCCGTCGCCCAGTTATCCGGGAAAAAATTTTTAGATGCCCTTTTTTATTCGGAAAGTGCCCCTCAAAGCCTGCCCCCCCCCCAACTTTTAGAAGCTTCCTACGCCCCTGGTCATTGGCTAATTGATTCAAATAGCTCAGCACTTAGCTCACAACATCCGCAGACGCTGAGATTTTTTCCTCGCGAGGCGAAAAATATCAAACACGATAGATATTTTCCTCAAGGCCTCGAGAGGTTAAATCCTCACAAAAACTATCCGCACACGAGAGCAACTTGCTGAGCTAATCGCCTCGCGAGGCGGTTAGCTCAGCAAGTTGCTCTCGTGTGCGGCGGGCTTAAGTACTGAGCTGTTTGAATCAATTAGCCAATGACAAACCATGGTTTCTTCATGTGACTTGGAACAAAATGGAGGAAAATGCAAATGATTTTGTCAATTATGTTGTTTTTGAGTAGTTTTCCCAACGTGTTCGGTGAAAATACATAGCTGAGCTAGCTGCCTCGCGAGGTGGTTAGCTCAGCAAGTTGCTCTCGTGTGCGGCGGGCTTTAGCTCGGGGAAAATCTTAATTGAAATAGCTGTGCATTGTGTACTAATTGAAATAGCATGTACAGTAATATGCGTATTTGTATAGCCCTAGACTCGGGTTCAAGTCCGTTTCTCAAGGGGTTGAAAATAGCGATGCACGCGACCGGTCAAAAAAGGTGCGAAAATATGAGAGAAAAGTAAGTAGGGAGAGACGGACTTGGATACCATGCAAGCGCGCGGATTTTTCCTACGGAGGCGTGGCTTGCGAATTGAGAACAACAACAAATTTTCGCGCAAATTTCGCAAGTCCGTCTCTCCCTACTTTTCTCCTGAGACGGACTTCAACCAGGTCTAGTAGAGCCCCAGCGAGTTAACTCTCCGTAGTGCGTCTTGTTACCGATAGAATGTAAACTACAAATATAGCTGTCTTTCGTGCAAACAAAATTATCATCCCGGTGACACGAGATTATCCATTTTATATCTCCTTTCTGCCGACGTACAGCGCAGGAAAATGATAAAATTGAATTGGGTCATTGTTTTTATATCTCTTGTGAAGGTGCGGGTATCTTGAATCATTTTTACATGTTCCCCAAGCACATATTTTAGTTGCGACCATATTGCTATTCTATATTGCGTTATATTGCTTGCGTGACCCGTAGTCCGAACTATTGCGATTGTTTACATTTTTGACCACGTGCCAAGTACACGTGCCCCCAACGGTGAAAGTGGTGAATTATTTGAAGCTGTGCCGAAAAGCGTAGACAACGGGCTGGTCGTTATTTTGTCTTATAAGCTGTTGAAATTAAAAAGTAATTATCAATCTTTTTAATTGTCAAAAGAAATAAAAATGATACATGAATATCCTTTGACATCTTTGACTTTATGGGCCGATACAGAAATATTTTTACAGGACTAACGCCAGTATTCAGAAAGATCACTCACATGTACTCACCCTTTAATTTAAGTAATATTCAAGTGAGTGACATTAAAGAGGGATTGAAATACGATTGTGAACGAACGTAGGGTAAAATTGCTTCGGCTCTCCTGTGATGTTTCCACCCTCTCCCTGGCTATGTCCATACTGGCAGAGTTGCCCATTCGCAGGTTTGAAATTGAAATTTGAGTCTTTCTGAGACTTCTTTTACAGGGTTGGTAACTTTTGCGGCCAAATAACTCGATTTTGGCTTTTTTATTTCTTGTTTATTATTATTTCTTGCCTTGAAAAAAATGTTTGGCCTTTAGGCTCTATTTTGGCTTTTTTGTCAAGTGACAGGAATTTTCACTATTTTTTTTTGTATAATTTATTATGAAGGAATGTTAAACCATAAAGCAACATGTAAGAATGTAAGAAATGGGATAGGGTTAAAACGCTGAAACTGAATCGCGGAAACGGAAACTGAAACCGGAAACTGAAATGGGGATAAAACGCTGAAATGGGGATAAAACGCTGAAATGGGGATAAAACGCTGAAGTGGGGGTAAAACGCTGAAATGGGGATAGAACGCTGAATGCGAACACATCAGTGTAATTTGCCTATAAAACTGAATAAATATAAGAAAGAAGTTCCCGGTAAAATGACAACCACAAATTTTCGAAGAACGAATTTTATCTGACAGTTTATCTTCTATTTTGACAGTTTATCTTTTATATTACAGTTAAACTCTCCTTCATAGTCCAAATTTCGTTGTTTTCCTGTGGCTTTCGTCATCACTATACATATTTTTGCTTCTTAATTTCAAACAGTAGAAAGTATAAATTTTTTTTACTTTAAGTTTAAAATCTGCAGCGGTCCGGTTGAGCGGTCCGTATCGTGAAAAACCGGACCGCAAACGAAGCAATTTGATTGGCTAAAAAGCATGGATACCGGACCGCAAAAAAAAAAAATGAAATTTATTTCGAGTGTTGAGAAAGATATCGAACGAGTGAGCGCAGCAAACGAGAGAGATATCTTCTCAACACGAGACGAATAAATTGCATCGATTTCCAAGCATTCGTGTATTTTTGTGTTTGTTTTATATACTACGAACCTAGTTTTACCCGCCATGGCTCTTAAACCTGATTTTTAATTGGTGAGTCAAAACATGATAATCGCACATGTGTCATTATCATGCATCATTATGCATGGATTCGCCAATAAAACACCGTATAATCAGGGCCTCTTTTAACATATGGACTGGGAGGGGGACATGTCCCCCCCCCCAGCTCTCTTACTGGCCCCTCCAGTATGAAATTTTGTCCCCGCCAGTGAGGTCCCTAATAACTACCTGCAGTAGGTGGTTAACCGGCAATTACGTATCAAAGTGAGAAAATGATGTTAAGTTGTTAACATTTCTGAATTTGACCATTATCTGCAGCCCCGTAACTAGCTATGGGTCAACCGAGTCCGTTAAACTCCGTAGGAATTTGGGGACTGAACCATGACTGAAATAATTTGCTCGTGGAACAAGGCATGAAATGGAAATTTTAGGACAATGTTTAGTTTTCAGTCCAAGTAAATATACTCCAAAGAGACCACCGTATCTTGCTCTTCAGTGACACTGAGAAGACGAATGCGTCGATTTGAAGTATACCCCAATATATGTAATACAATACTGTAGAATTTGAAGTGTGGTGAATGATAATACTATACCACGCACATTTTCTGATTTTCATTACCGCATCACCACACCATTCATTACATTTGGGAGACTGTGAAATTGCAGTAATTGTGTCACTGTTTATAAGGTTAATTTTGTTGTTGAAAAAACTCTTCGAAATGCTGGAAATAACTTATCTGAGCTTCAAGAATTCAAAATTTTCTGGGGGGGGGCATGCCCCCAGACCCCTCTAGAGGCTCGCACCTTTGGTGGTCGACTCGGTTGTCTCGGAATCCTAGTTACGATCTGATCTGCTGCCCTATAACGTATACTTATTAGTTAAACCATGTATATATATGCTGGTAGCTGCAGTGATACAGACTTGCCGACTGGAACTTCTCGAGGTCCCCTACTAAAATGCCCCCCCCCCCAGTTACTCATCCTGAAAAGAGGCCCTGCGTATATTATATTATAAAATAAACATGCATTATATTGTCTCACTGCATGCGGTATTCAGTTTATTAATATTTGTTAACATTATATTATATTATTATTTCATAATTTGTCAATCTTTACCGCGAGCTAGGTATAGTATAGTCAAATTTAATTCAAACGACTTTAAAAATAGTGCAGCAGACGTTCTTCGAAATTTTGTGGTTGTCATTTTACCGGTAACTTCTTTCTTATATTTATCCAGTATTACAGACAAATTATATCTGTTCGCAATGGTCTAGCACAACGATTTCGATTAAATTTGCCCATTTCGGCGTTGTATCTCCATTTCAGCGTTTTATCCCCATTTCAGCGTTTTATCACCATTTCAGCGTTTTATTCCCATTTCAGTGTTTTATCCCCACTTCAGTTTCCGCTTTCAGTTTCCGTTTCCGCGATTCAGTTTCAGCGTTTTATCCCTACCCGTAAGAAATGTGTATCGTTGACAGAGGATAACCTAATTTTATTAGATTTCAGGAAATTCGGCCAATCGTAAAGCTGAAAAACTAACCAATGACAACATTGTAGCTATGTCTTCGCAGAGGACCGTTCCGAAAAATGACAAAATTTGCTTTAAAATTTGAATTTTTTATCTTTCAACATACTGCACTTCTCTAACTCTAGCCTGCGTAGTAACCCTAGAGATAACCTGACCAATGTAAGTCGAAAATATTGATAAGAATTGGCTCTTTTTTAGCTTTTTTCAAAAAAATAAATTTGGCCTTATTTAGTAGAATTTGGCCTTTTTTAAAAGGTGATTTGGCTTCGTGCATGCGCGAAAGCCTACCAACCCTGCAGTTCTTCTGGAACGAACGAAGGAGACTACACACAGAAACCAGGCAGAAACGCAATCTTCAAAGGTTTGCAGCAGATTTATAATACAGCAGATTGGAAGAGGTAAAATTTTCAATATGATTTGTAAACACGCAACACACACTGTTCTGGGTAAATTATGGTTATTTGTCGGTATAGCTGTGTTGCAGTGTTAAGTGTTGGATATATGCCAGAGTGTAGAGCAGCAGAGGTTACAAATTATTTTGGCAGATAAGCCTATTGCCAATATTGGCATGAGATTACTCAAAGTCATGGGCATAAAGAAATGAGATTACTTTACCGTTTTAAAAGCACAGGATTGACAATTTTGACATTGGTTTTAGTCCGCAGAAGTAAAATGTTTTGAAGGGCAAATATTTATGGCGTCAGATTTCCGCCAGTAGTCATGTTGATATTAATTCAACATGTTTCCGTATTGAAGTGAATTTCGACATTGAACATATTAAATTCAGCATGCCACTTTAATTCAACATTGCTTCAATTTCAACATGTTTCCGTCATTGATGTTAATTTGAATATTGAACATGTCAAATTTAAGTGAAATACAACACTGAAGTATAGATATTGAAGTAATTTTCAGTGTTGAAGTTTCAAAACATGTTGAAAACGCATCACTACATGAATTTGAGAAGTGAATATTGTCGGTTATATAGCACCGCGTTAAATATCTGCCAATATTAATTAACACTTCGTTAAAGTTCCCTTGGCATATATTCCTATATGGTATGTTTTTCACAATTCCTATATGCAGTATGATGGGTGTACGCAAAGTAACTTTGGAGCGGCGAATAAGGTCATTTGGTACGAGTGTGTCAGGTAAGAAAGTTATGCACATCCTACACGGCCGATACAGTGATTATATATGCAACACGTACTGTATATATAGCGTCTTATCATCAGGATTTAATATGATTGACTGCACATTAAGTTTTATACAGAACTACAGCATAGAATGAGAACGAGAATACCTACGAGTATTTACATCTTTCACCTGCACTTCATTTTTACCGTTTGAGGAAAAAGGTTAGCTTAGTATATGCAATATGCTGAGCAGACATAAAAAGCCCATGTCAGTGGCAGCAGGGCGGCTGGTGTCCACTCCAGGTCCAGCAACTTGGCATTTCGGATTAATTCATGAAAACTTTAATTTTATTGAAAACTGAAATTTGCAGTCCTGTTTTCGTTTAAGGTCGGCAAATGACCTGAGCAGTCTTCGTCAATTCAGAGGTCAGGGTCTAGAATTTTTCACTAACACCAATCCCCACAAAAGGAAGTTGTTCTTTCAATAAGAATTGATCTACATGTATGCATTACGTTTACATCAGTTTCCCTAGGTTTGTCGACTTGGACTTAACATATACAGTGCTGCATAACCACTGTGTTGGCCGTGTATAGGATGTGCATAAGCCATAATTTTCTTACCTGACACAGTGACACACTCGTGCCAAATGACCTCATTCGCCGCTCCAAAGTTAATATTTTGCGTGCTTACTTCGCTATAAAAAATTCAATTGCTCCTCGTGTTCGTGTATATCATACGAAGGACCTACGAAGGTTTTCCACGGCATAAACTTGTGCTGGAAATGCAGAGTTATTCATGGCGGAATAGCGCTGCCGCTGCTCAAATTGGTTTAAATTTTTGCAAACCCTATATAGCAATTCCAACTGTGCATGCAGATGTCGTCGATTCTAATATTTACAAGATATCTATTTAAAACGTCAAATCGTATTGCCAATCCCCCTACACAATCTGGGTCACCAAGGCGGCAAGGCTAGCTGTCTAATCGCGATATTATATCCTCAATAATGTTCGGTGCACCAACTATTTCATGATTTTCATCCCTGATTCCGCTCGTTCGTAGCCGCCATATAGGAATATGCCAGGGGGGAAGTTTAACGAAATGTTAATTAATATTGGCGGATATTTAACGCGGTGCTATATAACCGCCAATATTCACTTCTAAAATTCATGTAGTGATGCGTTTTCAACATGTTTTGAAACTTCAACAATGAAAATTACTTCAATCAGGTTTTATTTTAAGAAAAATTTAGAACTGCACATATAAGGATGTTGCGAAGGCAACGAGTGTTTGACTGGGGGAGGGGGGGGGGAGTCGAAGGACTTTTTACCTGCATATAGGTGCCAGAATAATGATGTGGTCATGGGAGAATTGGAGAAAGGCCAGACAAACTCGATTTTGGGTGCGGTAGCTAGGGGGTGTTCCCCAAAACAATTTGAATCTAGAGTCTCTTAAGTTCTGAAAACATATAACTGGGAATCAGTGGCGTGGTGGCTCAAAAATTTCAAGGGGGGCCAGTGTTAAATTTGTCGCCCCTAAGAGTTATCTCGATTATTGCGCCCCCCCCCCCGCCCAGCCTCCCAAAAATTAGTGCGAGTGTACACATCGAGTGTCGTAGGCACGAGGGACCTAGAAGGGTCTGGGGGGATGCTCTTCCAGAAATGTTTTTAAAATCTAAGTCTGTGAAATGGCATTTCCAGCATTCTGAAAACACATTTGTGAAACAGCTTTCCACCAAGTACCAATCTAAAACAATGTTAGTCAGGTTTTGTTGTAGCATACTATCAACGGATATAATTATACTATAATACAATTTTTACTCTCATATGACGATAATGAGAGAACATAATTTTGTTCCAGGTCAAATGCCAATAACGTATAGACTATAAGCTATAGTTTATGCAAATTGAGCATAATATCACATGTACAGTTTTAAAAGACAACCAGTGAACCAAATGAAAGTCAAAGTAGAGCTTTTGACAGTTCGGGAGAAAGCCCTGCGTACAAGTTAATGTGATGTTCTTTATCGCCTTTGAGCAAAATTTTACGCTCGATTTACATTGAAAGCAAAGATTCAAGTCTCTCCTGAACCATGGATGAGCGAATGCGAGGCTTCACCCTCTTGAGTGCAGAAAACGAACGCTCTGCAGTCGACTAACTAACTGGGATGGCCACAGCAATAGCAAAAACGCGACAGAGACTTGGATACGCATCAACCAAACTATAATCTGGGTTACAAAGGAGTGAAAGAGCTTCAGAGAAAGATGGAACTTTTTTCTTCGATTGTTTTTCAGCTTTCTTGCCGCCGCTGTCGCTCTGCTCATTATCTTACGTGCTTGAGATTTCGTCGTCGTCCTCGTCATCATCATCATAACCATCCGTTGTCCTCGCCGTCATCATCATCATAGTCATCGTCGCCCTCGTCGTCTTCGCTGTCATCATCATCATCTTCTTGCTGGCAGACAGTTGAACAGTCGAATTTCTCAAAAGAACGAACAAAATTGAACAATTCGTCAGCACATCTAAACGCATCTGTACTGTACGTTTCACAAAAGGTGTTAAGGCACGCTTAAAGATCATGTGCGGTTTTGAAATTCTTCACAAGTTTTGGGAAACGGCTTGGGGCAAACAACGAAAAAGCTTGGAGCAAAGGTTGGTTTTTCTCAAACCGATTCTTCAATGAATTTAAGATCGTGTCCACAGAAACATAAAATGTGTTACGTTTCCAGTGATCTTCTGGTGTTTCAGCAGGTTCGTCTTCGGCATTTTCATCATCCATTCGTGTTTTTGCTCAACGTATCTGATAATTAGCTCCGGTTCTTTACGCAATTCATTGAGCTCGTCAATCGCGCTTTCGACCATACCCAGGGCTTTTCCAAAATCAATATCAACGCGTTGTAAATATCGGCTTAGCGGACCAGTGGATGCAAATATTTCTCGAAAAAGGTACGCGGTAGCCAGAAACTGCTTTGTTTGAATCTGCTTCAATAAGCCAGTTGTAGCAGCCGCTCATATTCGAAGCGCCGTCGTATGTTTGTGCTACGAGTTTACCAAACGACACACCTTTCGAGACAAGTGCTTCTGAGATTAGATTGTATAGTTCCATTGCTCTTGTACCGGAAGCTCTTTTGCAAGACAAAAGATGCTCGAAGCATTTTCCATTACGATTAACGATCCTTGCACAAATACTAAGCTGCTCGTGGTGACTGACATCCGGTGTGGTGTCGGCTATTAATGCCCATGCTCTGCAATTACCGATTTCTTTGACAATTTCCGAGGCGATTTCTCTTCCAAAAATTTTGATCACATTATTCTGCGTATCGTTGCTGTGGAAAGTTAGTTTCGAACCCTGTCCTTTGGCACCTTTTTTCCCGCCCTTTCTTCTCGATATAGCTTGTTGATTTCTAACCTTTTCAAGATGATTCGCAGTTGTTATATCGTAAGGTTGACAGGTAATTTAGCGACTCTAGAAAATTTCCTTTGTTTGCTTCTGGGTCATCAATTGGCGATTCTCGATGCCCTCTGGAAGCAAGTCCCTGCTTTCCCAAATGTACAACAGTGTCGACAACACGTTTCATAATGGCTGCGGTTTGCCACGACTTCTTTCTTCCGACGCAAAATTTCGGTCTATTCTTGTTGCTTCAAGCACGAATCGATTGATCGTCCTTGCAAAAAGATAACTTGAGCAATCTTGGCATTTATATGACTTTCGAACTTTTCGTGCTTTGTGATAATACTGTACTGCTTCTTCCAGTTCGAGTACCCAGCATTCGTAAAAGCGTTTGCTTGGTTGTGGCGCGTATTTTCGCCTCTTGAACATTCATCTGAAAATAGGAGACATGGGAGGCAGAATAGACAATCCTTACTTAGCGAGTATGAAAGCCATTTGCGCCTAGTTTGATCTTCGTGAAAGAATAGCGCCTGCGAGCAGTACCGGTTACGTTCTCCAATTTTCTTTTTTCTCTCAGATAAAACGGATTCGGGTGGCTGACATGGTTCATTTTTGCAAATGGCATTTCGGCGCCCCTCTTGAAACCATCGCTGGGGGGCCATGCCTCCCCCCCCCCCAGCCACCACGCCACTGCTGGGAATCATGGATATTCAATATATAACAACCTTAAACTTGCATTTGAGGCAGAAAAGAATATCCCACTATAATCTCTTTTGGAGAGCTTCGCTAGCCTCAATTTTACCTTCTTTTTCATTACCCCAGCACGTAAGTGATTTGTGAGGAAAATAGGAGGGTCTGGAGTCCTCCCCCAGAAAACGTTTATATTTTTGTTGCTCAATGATAGCATTTCTGGAATTTTCTGGAGCATCCACAAGGGTAACGAGTAAATGAGAAGACTGTTTTAAGGCTATTTTTGTTAGATTGGTGACTGCACATTTGTGTTTTAAGAACTCGGCACAAATGTGTTTAGAACTGCACATATTGTGTAGAACTGCACGTTAAAATAAACCCTGACTTCAATATCTATACTTCAATGTTGTATTTCACTTAAATTTGACATGTTCAATATTCAAATTAACATCAATGAGGGAAACATGTTGAAATTGAAGCAATGTTGAATTAAAGTGGCTTGCTGAATTTGATATGTTCAATGTCGAAATTCACTTCCATACGGAAACATGTTGAATTAATATCAACATGAATATTGGCGGAAATCTGACGCCATAAATATTGGCGTACAGTGTATCTCCGAGTGTCATAATATTGTAGACTCCTTGGCAGTCCTTGCGATGTATGTATTTACTGAAGTGAAGCTGTCACGACATTGGTCACGACATTCATCACAACATTCGCACCGACATTTCTCACGAGATTAATTAAAAGAGATTTACTAAACCGATAACGATCACATGTGGTGAGCTCGCTATTTTCCATCATTTAAAAGAGTTGAACATAAAAATAGGTATTAGCATATAGAAAATTATTTACATTTCGATCTCTGCAGAAATATTAATACTATCGAAGATCTTGAGCAATTTAGACAGTTTATAGGTAGTAACGTTTTTTCCAAAAACCCAATGCTATAAATCATAGAAGGTAAGTCAATTAAGTGTTCTTTCAGTCGCATCTGCATTCGATCAAACCAAATCATCAATTCAAACATCTACCTTTGCAAGTGGAATTAAGTTAATATACATATACACGCAAGTATACTACATATGCAGTTTCTAATAGACAATGGTAAGTAATATTCCCATGTTTTCCTGGACGAATTTGTTTCTTGCTATTCTTGGGCTCAATAACAAAGTAATTTTCAACACTACTAAGCACAAAACATGAGTAAGTAGTTGACATCATTGAAAATGAGGCCATTGGATAAAACAGATTCTTTCACTTCAAGTGCCACGTGGTCGTCGGTAAAACTTAGATGTTACACCCGGTTAAAATGGTCACGCTACGCCCCTGATGGTAACAACGTATTAAATGCTGAATTTTTTTACTATTTTAAAAAGCTTTTAACAACAGCTAGTCATAACTTCTATAAGTATAACTTGGCATATTGCTATCACGAAATTCATCACTTCATGCCATTCAGAGGGGTGTTGCTTAATTTCTTATATAGAACATTATACACCTTCGAGCAGTATGAAATTTGTCATAGGGACCAAATGATTTTTAATTAACAACGTTTTTGCTTTTTTGGTATTTGTATGTGCAACACATATGTACAAAGTTGAAAGTTCATGTTTCAACAAATTCAATACGATTTTCCATTTTTGACATCACTGTGTAAGGCGTATAATTTTATGCTGTTTATAACGACAGTAAATATGTCCTGGGGAACAAATTATTTATATGCGTTTTTTCTGCCATTTCTTTGAAAATGTAATACGATATTCCGTACTGCACTGTCATGCAAAATGGTTGTCTATGTTGAGTTCTCATTTCTCGTTACCTAATCTATAGGAATTTTTATTTTAACATGTTTGCTGTACAATGTTATGCTGTTTATAACCATACTATAATTATCCTGGAGACCAAATGATTTATATGCGTTTTTGAGCTATTTATTTGACAGTGTAATACGACTCCGGACTGCGCTTTTTTGCAAAAGGTGGTCTACGTTGAGGTCTCATCTTCTCTTTACCTATTCTATAGGAATTTCATATTTAACATATATGGCGTAGAATTTTATGCTGTTTTTAACCTTACTAAAATTTTCCTGTGGATCAAATAATTTAATTGTATTTTTGCGCTATTTCTTTCACAATGTAATACGAGATTCCGCACTTCGCTTTCATGCAAAATAGGTTGTTTATGTTGAGGTCGCATTTTCTGATTACCTATTTTATGGGATTTTTTATTTTAATATATATGGCGCACAATTTTATGCTGTTTATAATCATACTAAAACTGTTCTGGAGACCAAATTATTTATACACGTTTTTGTGCTATTTCTTTGACAGTGTAATAAGCGATTCCGCACTGCGCTTTTATGCAAAATGCATGGTTGTCTATGTTGAGGTCTCATTTTCTTGTATTCTATAAGAATTTTTTTATTTTAACGTATACGGCGTAGAATTTTATGCTCTTTAAAACGACGCTATAGTTGTGCCGGTGTCAAACGAAATTCCTGACCTCTGCGAAATACCTGACCAAGCGTAACGGGTCAGAAATTTCGCGCGTGCAGGCGCGAAATACATGAAAAAATTAAATAAATTCTATGTCGGCCAAAACGGTTTTTTAGAGTTTAGATAAAATAATCATGATGTTAATTTCTAATAGGCCTACTTCGTTAAATATTTCAAATCGACATCGCTAAGTTTCAATGATAAACACTTTAAATTTCCAAGCGAAATGTGTGGTCGTGACCGCGAAATACACGACGTTTGCTAAATACAATCGGTCGAAACGATTTTTAAGTCCATATGCGATGTTACCAAATGTTTCTAAATAATATATACTAATATAGACATCGCCAAATCTAAACGGCCAACTCACGAACTCATTGTTGCTGCTTGCTAAATAGTGGGAATTGAGAAGGTCAAACGCGAAACGATTTTTGGTGCTTATAGTATAATGCATATAGCATAACCTTTGAAACTGCAGTCTATTTTATATCACTAAGTCTAAGGGCGCTTTTCGAGTGACTTTTTCCATATCTCCAATTCAAGCTTTATTGTTGTATCCTGAAATGAAGAAGGCGAAAGCGCAAGGTCACAGAGTGCGTATGGTTCGTAGCCTGCGAGCAGGCTCTCTGGGGAAAGAGAGCCTGCAAGGATCCCTATGATGATTACGTGCCGCCCTTCAATTATGATGTCACAGGTCAATTAATAACAACCAATTAGCGCAGACCGGAATACACTACGATATTGTAAACATAAACCGATTCGTTTCAAATTCGTTAATAGTTTCGTATACAGACCGCCACTGTGGCATACTAAAAAGTTAAAACGGCTCGAGGTTTTACAGAGTAATATATCAAGTTGTACTTTTTATTACAATCTGCATGTGTTTCTCCTGTAGGCACAGTAAGTTTAAAGTTGTATATTACCCGCTAACTAATTCAGTTATTTGGAAT